CTGTTTGCCCATTGCATATATAAGACTTGTCAAGATTTGACAAATGAACTGCTTGTGCCATGTATGTTTATGGTTTTGTCTTTATCATGGCACATACGGAATGCCTAATGCGGAATCTCATTCCTGACAATAGCCAGGATAAGATGTTTCAGAGGAAGTTACCAGGAATCATCACTGGGCAATGACAGGTGGTTTTGCCTTCTTGAGGAAGAGGTTTTTGTAACCTTGTCACTCGTAGCTGGTTATGCGCTTTGAAAAGTAACCTGTTCTTCACTCTGTGTTCTTTTTTAGCAGGAGAAATTCTCATTGTCTTTATAAAGGGATTTTTTTTGCTTTTGTTATTTGTGTTACAGCAGAACAGCAGGGGCCAGGGGCCGGATGAATTGGGGTCCCTTTGTTTTAAGTTAATTTGTGCATGAATAGAGGAAGAGACTCACTGTTCCAGAGATGTTCTTGCTTTCAAAAGGGGGAAATGTCATATCCAAGAACCAATCTATATCAGCTGAATAAATAGGACCTACTAGAACATCTCATCTTTCAGCATGCCAGGGATAATATCCACTTAGGCTGTTATTATTACAATTTTAATATTAGTGTTTCTGTTTTCCTTTTGCGATAGAACTCCGTTCTATGATGACATTTGGCTCTAACGCAAAACCAGGAGAATGCTCCATGAAAATTTTTAACATATAGGTGATTATAAAAATCCCAAAGTGAATTCATAGCTTGCTTGCTTGTTAGCTTATTTAGAGTAGATGAACTACAATATTTGTGGCTTGAATATTTCTGACTTAATATTTTTAGATACTTAGTAAATACTGTAATCTAGAGAGCAACAGAATGCATTTAGAGCTGCTTAGGTACCATAAAAAGATTGCTTGTTAGATCTGTGTATCGAATAATTGCTTTGGGTCAAGTGAGATTTGAAGTAGCTTGGCAAATGTTTTTTATTGAGGTTGGTTTTCCGTGCTACAGCACATAACAGCATATGTGTGCCTGTAGAGGAGCTCTGCTGCAGTGCAATGCCATGGAGGTACTTAGTTGAGGAGCTGAGAGCTGTGCTTTGTCTTACTACCAGGTTATCGATGGGCATTTCCTTCCTTGCTCTGCCTATTGAAAATTACTTGAAAAAACATTTTTAAAGAGAGGTTATTAATGATGTACTGTCAAAAAGGAAAGATATATCAAATGAGCTTCTCGAGGGATCCATCTTTGGCCTAGCATTATTCAAAAATTCTATTAACCTCTTTGATGATGGAAATAAGGCATAAAACCTTAAAAATAGTGGATGGCACCAGTCTAGAATAAATTTAGAAGAACCAGTTTTGAAATAGTTGGTCTAAAGCATAAAATTATTTTACGAAGTCGGGAAAATTGTTTTTAATTAATATGGAAAAAGAAAAAAAATTAGAATGATGGGGAAGGCTATCTAATGTGGTAGTTCAGAATAATGAATCGCTGTAGCCACTGTTGCCTGTAGCAGGGCAATCATACAAACGTGGGACTCTGTACTGACCTGTAAGTTCGCTATCAGTAACTATGCAGAATGCAAAAGGTCAGACATTGAACTGAAGGACTGTGTTTAGTGTAAGGCATTGCCTTCTGAAAAGCGGTGTGGGCAAAACTGCAAAGATCACTGCAAAGAGCAAACAAGTGCTGAGGCTTGTTTTAAAGCTGACTTATGACAGAAAGAAGAAGGGATGTCTGCCTAGTCTAGAAGAAAGTAGACAGGCAGGGGGAAAGTAGTCTTTGAGCATGCAGAAAGTTGTTTGAAAAATGTTGGTGACTGTTTTTTTCCATGTCCGTTGGGGATGACACAAAAGAGTAATGCTGTAGCTTGAAGTTGGATGTTGGGAAAAAATGTCCTGTCAATATAAACAGTTGTTACCTGCGGAGATACTAAAATTTTTGTCACTGTTGACTTTGCATAGTGCAAAAAAACAGGATAATTTTGTACACTTAATCCTGACACCTTCTAAGAAATGGGAGTACAGCTTTTATATTCTGTTCAAACTGAACATGTCTATGCTTTCTAGCATGATTTGTCCTTTAAAATTGTGAGCTGACACAAGAAAAGGAGACAAATCTTGTGGCTTTCATGACCAAGTTGTGTGATGTGCATTAGCAATTGGGTGTGCAAGTCCTCCTTAGCCACATATGTAACTATGTCCCTTTGTCGTTCCTCAGCAGTCTCCAAACGTCCACAACTACCCAGATATGGAAGCTGTACCCTTGTTACTAAACAACATGAAGGCAGACCCCGCGGAGGATTCATTATCTACAGACCATTTCCAAACACAGACTGAACCAGTGGACTTGTCAATAAACAAAGCCAGGTCGTCCCCTATAGCAGCTTCATCTTCACCGGTTTCCATGACAGCATCAGCCTCCTCCCCTTCTTCTACTTCTACTTCTTCTTCTTCTAGTCGGCCAGCTTCATCACCCACAGTAATAACATCAGTATCCTCAGCGGCATCTGTACCGTCAGTATTAACTCCGGGTCCTCTTGTGGCCTCAGCATCTGGTGTTGGAGGCCAGCAGTTTTTGCACATTATCCATCCAGTACCACCTTCAAGCCCCATGAACTTGCAGTCCAACAAAATGAGTCATGTGCACCGTATCCCCGTGGTGGTACAGTCGGTACCTGTTGTCTATACAGCTGTGAGATCACCTGGGAATATGAACAACACTATAGTAGTACCACTGTTGGAGGATGGGAGAAGCCACGTCAAAGGTAAGGTGGAACCAGTTTTGTGCATCTGTGGCATCTCTAAAACCACTCTTGTATGAGGAAAACGTAACAATGTTATAAAGCTGTTAGTTTCCAAACTTACTGTGTAGTTTGAAAAGACATGTAACTTACACTGTTGGGAGGAACCTTTAAAAGTCTTGTACCAGATGCTCTTTAAAATGAGTAAATATTTTTACAAAAATTGAGGTCCACAGTGTTGTTAGATGCTCAGACAACTTGTGGCAAGTTTTGTCCCAAGAGGAATAAATATCCCCAGAAGCTGAAGAAGTAGGAATGGAATAGTAACAATACATAAAACATCACAGATGAACGTGGAAAACTCACCAGGTAATACAGATTTGGCAAGGCAAGGAATGTCAGAGAGATTGTTTCCCTGCAAAGTGGAAGCAATTGTTGGGCTGCAAGAATGTGCGAAGGAAGGGTCTTTTGGACCAAAGAGCAGTAGCTGATGCAGAGAGGTAGGTTTTAATAATCTCAAGGAATGGCAGTGCAATACTTTGAATGAGGTTTCTTCTTCCAGATTAAACAGCAGAAGGGCAGGAAGCCACACAGACTGTGTATGTTGGGAATGGGTTTTGCAGACACAGGACCTGAGAGGCACATGGAGGTGTGAAGGCAGGAAGAAAGCACATGCCAAAAAGACAGATAGACTCATGGAGAGGTGTCCAAAGAACACAGAAAGGGGAGCTGGAGAGCAAGAAAAAATGAGAACATAACAGTTATTGAGGTAGCAAAAAACTTCTTAGAGATGGTGACATGATGGGTGGAGGAAGAAAAAAGAAACGGATATGCCCAGGTACTTTGAAAAGCAAAGCTTTAGAAAGAAGGTGGGAACATGAGGAAAGCAATGAGACACACTCATTTCACGGTTCATCGCATGTGAGCAAATAAATATGGCTAATTCTCCCCTGAAATGAGGTAGTGCTTGAGGCAGAAAGGGAGGATACTCACAGATAACCTTACTTTGGGTCTTAATGATACTACAGGGCATTTAGTAATACATCTTAAGACATCTCTTGTGTACCTAATTGCATAATGAACACGTCTCTGCAAGTAAAAGACCTTTTTTCTTCAACTCTCACGTCTGTTTTTTATATACCGGTCACTGTGTGTTATTGTACAGAACTACAGTGATGGGTCATTTCTGACGTTTAGTAGCATCCTATTGTCCATAAATCTTTGGTTCTCCTTCCGTTCCCTCAGTACCCAAGTGTGGGCTGTGCCCTCTCAACAGGCTTGGACGTAGGAAACAAGCTCACAGCTGATCTGGGTTTTGTTTTAAGTCTCAAAATGACAGTTTAAGAAGTTTTATTGCACTTCATACGGTGACGTAATTTTAGGACTTTGTGCCGCGATGTCAAGAAATGATGAATGAAAGCAGAACTTTTCACCGTGTTGTCTGGGAAAAGACGAAGGAAAGTTTTAGTCTATATTTTGATTTTGGAGCTTTGAGCTGTACCTGACCTTGAGCTCATGCGGAATTTTTCCTTTTCTTTTCAAAGGTGCTGGTTGGCTTTGGTAGTAGCCTCCTCTATAGGAAGCACCTCCTGATCTTGTAAAATCGTAACTTTGCTACCCCCGTTTTGTCAACAAAATTTCAGAATTTAATGTGCCATAGGGATTTCAGCCCACAAGCCCTGGGCCTCCTGAGCTGCCCTGACAATATCGCCTTTGTGCTATTATTGGCAGAGATCATTAACCAGCCCTGCAGCACCTATTAATGTACAGCTAAAGGAAAAGAAGGGATTAAGCATTACTTTTTTTTTTTTTCCTCATCAGTTGTAACCATTTTGCTATCACTAATTATTTTGATATATTTGTTCAGGTTAATTTGAATAAATACAATAGAAGAATAATGGGCAACAATCCTCTCTAGGTAGTCATCTTTTGTCAGCTTTTGCTGGAGTGTGTTTTTCTTTCTTTAATGTAAAACAATATAAATAACAAAAATGCAATGATACTGCACAAATTAACTGATTAAATAAATTTCATATGTGCACAGACTTAACTCTTCAGTGGTCAGCTCTCATGCTGAAAAGAAGAAATAAATGTACTCAGTTGCTAACAGGACATTGCTGTCAAATTGCATTGGTTGCTAATCCTCTACCAGCTGAAGGAGAAATGCAGCTTCAGAATCATCGAGAGTCACTTCCAACTTTTACATGATCATTTTCAGAAACAAAAAAATACGCATGTTGAAACAAAATGATCCACAGATAGCATTGGCAGCATTTGTCACGTAATCTCTGTTTTGGTGCTAAATCAGAGACTGTGTTTATGATTCAGGGGTGTGGTTGAGAAGCACTTAAAGTTATATTTTACGTTAGCCTATATCTAAGGCACTTTTCACTAAAGACTTAGGTACTTTCCTGAACAGGGATACTTTCTGTGCTAAAATTAATGAAAATTACATCAGACTTAAGTTCAGATCTCTCCTGTTTTTCTAGATACAGATGGTTAAAAGGCAAGAAACAGGATATAGAGAAAGGATTTTCCTTGTTATTCCCAGTTTTATTTTCCTCATGCTGAATTTTCCTCTTCCTTCCAGGTTTGACTGAAACGATTTCATTTTTAATTTTATTGCAAAACCTTCTCAAGCCACCACCATCCTTCTAATCTTGCCTCCAGGCTTTTTACTCAGGTAGCTTTCTGCTTCCCCTGGTGCTTCCCAGTCTACCTGCCTCTCTCGGACAAAACTGCCCTCCCAGCAGCTGCTTTTCTAGGCAGTTCAAGCAAATACGTCTTTCTTCACGTTCTGTTTGAATTCTCTCTTCCCTCCAGCACAAGAAATCACTACCTCCTCTTCTGTTTCCCCCTTTTTCTATTTTTCCTTTTTTTCTAGTCCTTCCTGTCTCTCTGACTGCAGCTCTGCTTCATCTCTCCCTCCTTATCTGTTAATATTTCTAACCCATACTGTCATCTCCTCCTCTGCCGCTGTGCATCCTTCTCCGTGGCATCCTTTATCCTGGCATTCTCTGTCACACCTTCCTTCAGGAGAGTGTTAGATCTCCTTTTCTGCCTCCCAATGTGCTTCTCATTTCTGCTCTCTGTCCTGCCTCATCTCTGCTATTTTTTACTTGCAACATTTCCCGTTAAATCAAACCCTTTCTGCAGCATTGAAAATCAGATGGGTTTGCAAAGAATTAGCTCTTGTATATACGAGCTGCCGGCAGCATCCTGTCAGGTCTTGTGGTACATGCTACACCAAGGGGGGGCAACAGGAGCCAGGGGTATCATGCTGCAAAAGCACCCCTCTGTCAGACTGATGCTTTTTGCAGGATAAAACCCCCTCAGTTTACCTAGTGTAAATCTAATAAATCAGGATTGAAGCATTTTTAGGAGTTTATTAACAACACATAATTAGAAGATAATTAGTGGACACTGTGTTCAGTATCAATAATGCAACACTAACCATTTTCAAAATCTTACTGAAGTCCTACAAATTTCTAACACTGTTCTATAATCCCGCAGCACTCACATATGTGCACACACATGCAGTTACATGCAGGCTTCCCTACCAACTGTGGACCTTCCCCTCCTGACATCCCCCTGATGCACCCACGGGGGAGGAGGCACTCCAGGGACACCCTCAAAGTGGAAGTCTCTGTGTGCTGCCCCGGCACGGCCAGCCCAGCTGTACAAGTTGCCCCGTACAGCCTAATCCTCGTGTTATTTCGTATGTGCTAAGCGTAGTAATGTGGTAGGGCTGTCGGGGAACTGAGGTGACGGGAGCCAGGGAGTCCCTGTGGGCACTGATGGTCCGGGTTGCACCCTCTGCCACCCCCTACAACATGGCAGAGAGGTGAAGTTCACCTTCTTCAGTGGTCACCCTGTTGTCTTGTTGACCAAAGCCTCAAAAAGCGCTTGGAGATTTTTTTCCACTGGAGTAGGCGGTGACCACTAGACATTTTTGTACAATGAAGTATTCCAGAGCATTAAAATCCTGTGAAAAACCTGCCTTTTTTTACCTCCTTGTTCAGCAATGGTGAGGATTGCTAAAAGGTGTAATTAGAGGCACGGCAGGTAGCAGCACCTATAGATAAGGTTGCCTGATGTTTTCTCTTAGAACTCTGTCTTCAGTTGGCAAAGTCTCTCTATATGTTAACCATTTAGACTGACATTTTCTGTGCTACATGTCTGCTTCAGGCTATTTCTTTTTTCTTTTTTTCTATCTTTTTGAGCAAAGTTTCAAGAAAAAACTATTCTACTCTTCCTGAGACTGCTTGTAGAGAAAAAAATGTAGCATTCGGCATGTTGAAAAATTTATTCCAGCTTTTTTTGGTGAAAAACTCCAGAACGTCTGGGGTTTTGTGCTATGAACCACAAGTTTAGTTTGGACCATTGTCCTTTTTTTTGTCTTTATAAGCATTTGCAGAAACCAAGCCAAGTTTGGAGATCTGAAAAAATATAAGTCCCTTTAAAGGGTAAACCAAAAAAAAAAAAGTTCTGGCTGGGAAAAGGCGAGGAGGAGGGTTGAAGGGGCTGGGCAGTGAGGAGAGAGGCAGGATGGAAGGGGTGGCGGGAGAAAAAGAGAGGTGATGAGATGGCTACAGGTGTGTGAACGTGTTCAGGAGGGTAAGTGGGAAAGGGTTGGAGACAGAGGAAGAGGGAAAAAGCAAAAAGGAGACTAGAAAAGAGATCTGAGTAGGGTGAAGGGGAACAAGGAGAGAGATTCGATCACACAGGAGTGAAAGGTCCTGCCATGGCAGCAACATGTTCCCCTACAAACTCTGGTCCCATTAGCCTGCATCTTTCTACTGCTTTACTTTCAGAAAATATTCATGAATGCTACTGGCAAATCATGTCACTTTAGCAGCAGGTTTTGCCGAGGATAATATCCTTAAAAATTGTTTTTCATAGTTCAGAAGAGTTACTCCATTCATTGAAGGGCCTTACAGAAGCTCCCTGCTTATGACGGTACTCCAAGGACCTGTGCAGCTTTGATATTTCTGAGTTTTTGGGTTCTCACTCTTAGGAGTTTT